ACTTATGCTCTCACTCCTCCTCTGTGACCTTGGCAGAGCCAGAAACCCTTCAGGGCTTCCTCCTCCCGCACCCCCCCTCCCCGCTCCTCCCTGCTGCTCTCCCTCTCAGGCTCCCCCACCCCGTGTTGCTGTGGTGATGGTGCAGGGCGAGTTTGGGGCTGCCTTAGGAGTCCAGCCTCAACTCTATTCTGCAAGCCCTTTCTTTTGCCTGCTCGGTGACCTCATCCTCCCAGCTCCTCTAGGGAGGAAGCCAAGTAATTGCCTTTGGATCTCCGGGGGCTGATTTTCTCAGGTATGGAAGTCAAGTAGCTATTTTCCAACTCTCTTCAGGACAGCAGCAGAGAAAGAGGGACAAAACCAGGGCAGCAAGTGGGGTGCAGGTGAGACAACTGGGAGACTGGAAGTTGTTAGATAATGAGATTGTCCCCTAAGGGGGGAAGACTTCATGGTGCGAGAGAACTGGGAGAGAATCCTGGGAATATTGAGGGGGGCAAAGATGGGAACTGAGGGGGAACAGGGCTGCTGAGAAGGGAAAAGGAGAAAACCCAGTTGTTCTCCATCAGTGCAGGGAGGTCCCTAATGCAGGCAGGAGCCAGTGCTCTCGCCTCTCCATCCCTAATGTCTGCAATCCTGCCGCTGCTCCTCTCCCCTGTGCTCCTGCTGCCTCTGTGGAGCTCATCCCTGTCTGGGGAGAACACACCAGGTTAGGACTCTCCTTCAGCATCCCTGACCTGGCAGAAGTCCACCGAAGGAGCTGTGATGGGGTTTTGGTGGAGAAGCAGGCTTGGTGGGAAAAGGGCCAGGGCATATCCAGGGAGAGGTGTGGGGGCACGGGGCTGGGAGAAGAGCTAGGAAGGGGGTGCTTCAGGTGCTGCTGTTGGATACAGCCAGGTTTGCAGGTCTCTTGATTCTGCAGCTGCAATGAGAAGTCAGATTTGCAAATAATTATGGTGGCTGCAGTGGGATGATTGGGCTGCCAGCTGGTGTTGGCACCATTTAGGTTGGGAAGGGAGCTTGGCTTCCAGGGGGCTTAGTGATTCTCTGGCAGGCAGGACCTGGGCCTAGGGAGGCTTCTCCTTTCATTCCCAGCCCTTGGATTCCCTGCTCCCCTGCTGATCAGTTCTTGCATATCTAACTTGGCACCATCCTCCTAGTTCTCTCCTCTATGCCCACCTTGTTTGGAAACTTCTTGGGGCCCGGGCTGAGAGAGCACACGTGCCAACAGTGTTGCTAAACTCCCTGAGCCCTGATCGTCTCTCCACCAAGCAGTAGCTTTAGAAATTGCAATCTGAAAGAAATATAATAAATCAAATTGCACCAGACTCACCCCAAAGACTTCCTTGTCCTGCCTGTTCTCTTCCTTTCTGTTCTTCTTTGAAACACCAAGAAAATTTGCTGTTGTTTTGATTGCAGCAAGATGGCTTGAAGATAGATATGCAGGAGGACTTCCTGGAAAGTTCATGGAGGTTAGAATGTGACTTTCCTAGGATAAAGAAGAAAGCCACCCTCCTCCTTTAAGCATCAGGTTCGAGCTGAGTTGGGGGAAGCAGTGAGCCAGTCAGAAAGGATGAACTTGAACTGGGGAATCGAGACCCAGGCAGCCTACTTCCCTAGTGCCTCCAACCCAGGCACCAAATCGCAGAACCATAAAGTGTTACAGAGGAGGAAACTGATGTCCGCGGATAGTTTGTAAGTGGGGGACAGGGCTGGGACCAAGCTCAAATCCCGCTGATCCACAGTCTAGTCTGTCTCCCATCACACCTGCTGTCAGTCCCTTGCCAAGCTTCCAACTCACTTTCCAACCCCTACAACATCTGTTAGGCCACCTGGAAGCAGGGCATCTGCTGGGAACATCTGCTGGGATGTGGTTTGGGGGGCTGATGTGGTGGTCCACGTGGAGGTGGTTAATGAGCAGAACTAAATAGAGCAGGGAGGAGAACAGGGGTGAAGAAGTGAGCCAGAGGAGGAGTTCTTCAGGACTGGGTTCTGGGAACCTCCCCTCTGATAGGCTTCCTCTGACTTTGCCCACCCCTCCCAATTCCTCCCTCTCTCAAGGGCTGGAGCCTGAGGGAGAGGTGACACATTTGTGTGCTGGGCTGGAGCTGGGACATCCGGGTTCTGATTAGTCTGGGCTAAGGCTCAAGCTGTTGAGATCACCCCCTTCCTCCTCTGAGCTGCGCTGGGCTGGGCTGTTGCTAGGAGCACCTGTTAGAGAGGGCTTCGGGTCCAGAGGCGGAGAGGGAGCTGCCTTCAGATGCAGGTGCCAGCCGACTCCTTCTTTCTTCAGTGTTTCCCAGACCCTCTTCTTCAGTGCCTTTCCAATCTCCCTTCCTCCCCTCCCTTATCTCCCTACACTCTCTTGGTATCTCTCCTTCTCCCACCACCCGCCAGTCTTCCCCAGGCCCTGCCCCATTCACCTCCCACTGTCCTTCCACCCAGCTCCTCTGTCCAGTGCCCAGAGATCTCTCTCTACCGCTGCCATGTCAACCTGAGGCCTGCCGCCTCCCAGGATGACACCCCAGTGCTGCCACCAGGGGGGTTATTTTTGTCCCTGCAGCCACCCCCGCCACTCTGCCCAACTGGCTGCCAGAACTGGGGCTGCTTGTATAGCCATGGGAAGCCCGGGAGTGAGGGAGGGACAATGCTTAGGGCAGGTGGAGACTGGGTTGTTCTTGGTTTCTGGGGCTGTATGCTCTGCATGGTCCCCAGCTTCTGCTTCTGCTGCCTCCCTGGCCCCTGTGGAATAAGGAGCCAGGGAGAAGCCCCAGACATCTGGAGTGGTGGTGGGGGGAGACCAGGGCTTGTCCACATTAGGGGTCCTGGGACAGGAGTGGGTACAGGGAACTCTGTTCATGGGGGACTCCTAATGAACATTTGCTGAACTAAGCAAGTAAAGGGTTGGGCTAAATAATCTTTTGCATTCACGCGTCACATTATAGTTCCCAGGGTGCTCTCGTGATCGCATTTGATCCTTGTAAGGATTCTGTGAAGCACATATTATTTACCCATTTTACAGACAGGGAAACTGAAGCTCAGAGCGTCTTGCCCAAGGTCACACCTAGTGATAAAGTCTAGGTAAAAATCTCCTGATTTTAATTCAAGTCCTCCTTCAATTGGATTTAGATGATTTCCTTGGTTCTTTCAATTTCTGAGATTTTGGAGCCTTGAGATCAGCCAGTTAATCCCTTCCCCAACCCCCCCAAACTCCCCGCCCCAATCCTCTTCTTTGAGCAGAGGCAGAGTCTCCCATCCTTTTATCCCCTAGCCCAACTCCTATTCTTCAGTGCAGGTGGGGAAAGCTGGGGATAGGCCGGGGAGGGAGGCATTAGGGTTATGCTCCTTTCTGTTTTTAAGCTCAATTTAAGGGCTAAAGGAGAATCCATGCTGGACTCTTTGCTGGGGTCATCACATCAATGCCCCGTCTCCCACCAAGGGGACAGTTCCCCTAGCCTGGACAGAGGTAGAGTGGGGGGGTGTATGTATATGTGTGGGTGAGTGAATACGTGTGACTTTTTTCCCCCAGGAAGAGAGGGTGGTTGACCAATGTCCTTCCTTATTAGGAACAGTTAATAATAATAATAGGCTGGGATGAGGGATGCAGCATTTGGGGTGTCAAGGTGAGCAGTCATTTGTCTAACCAGCTTTGGTTCTCTGGGGCAAGAGAGCAGAGGGATGGACAAGATGTCCTCTCCAAAGCTTTTCTAGTCTGAGGAATCTCTGCCATTCAGTAGGAGGGTTGAGGTTAGTGCCTCCTTGGCTAGGGTGGCAGGGCCTGGAGGGAGGGCCTGGAGTCAGGTGAGGGAGGGAAGCTGGCCTAGCTTGGTGTTTGTTGGTGTTCCAGCCTGTGTGCAGCTGGCCACCACCTGCCCCCACTCCCACCCCCACCCCATCCCTCCAAGCAAGCATGTCCACGGAACAGGTCAGGTGACTTGTCCCTCACCTGGGTGGCAGTTCTGGGTCTCTGACGCTGGGTTTGGTTCTTTCTCGCTAAAAGCACTAACCAGCATGTGTGCGTGTGCGTTTGTTGTGGGGCACAGAGAGGCGGCTTTCCTTTCTTCCAAAGTCTGCAGCTCTGTGTTTCGTGGCTACCGATTCACCAGAAAACAACTCGTAGATATTTAACCGCCATTCCTCTCGTTGCTGTTGAAGCCCACTTCCGCTTGTCCCAGTCCTCAGTGGAGCTGAGAAACAGCAGGTTTCCAAACTTTGCTTATAATCCTTCAAGACTTTGGCACAGTGACAAGGTACTTTAATGTCTCCCTGCTTCTGGGGGAAAGTGGTGGGTGGGGGGGGACTTCCCGTCATAAAATCCTAGCTCTTGGCCTGTTTCTCCATTTTTCCCTTTCTCCTGTCATATACACTCCACTAGTCCCCAGTCCTCCTGTCCACATTACCCCCAGCTCTAGACCCCAGATTTAAGGAGAGTGTAGCCGCGCGGAACTCTCTTCACTGCGTGCGTTTGGCATCTCCCTCCTCCTTAGCCCCGCCCAGCCCCTCAGCTGACCAATCGTGGGCCCAGTGCACTTGGCTGGGTGACGTCATCTCACAGCCAATCCGGAGCGGGCTGTGTGCGCACGTCCACTTTGCGCCGCAGAGGCCGGATCTTTCCTCCCGGACCAGAGTGAGAGCGAAGCCTGGAGGCGGAAGAGGGGGGCCGCTCCCCAGGCCCCTCTTGGGCCATCTTGTCACTTCTGTTCTCCCTGTGGGCTGGATTGATCCCTTTCCAGTTCATTCACTGTTATCCCCTAACTCGTGTTTTACACATGAGAAAACGGAGCTGGGAGTGTTAAAGTAACTTGCCCGCCCTCTTGGTTTCATGAGCAAGTCCTCCTGAGGCTCATTCACTGCTTGGGGGAAGAGGGGCTCCCCTCCCTGTTGAGAAGGTCTCTGGGCAAGGATGCCCTGATCCGCAGCTTTAGCAAGCCCCTCCTCTGCCGTTTTTCATTCTCTTCGGCTCTTGTTTCCATTCTTTCAGGTGAGTTTAAGTTCATTTTGAAGAATCGCCCCTGAAAAAGACCTTAGCAGGGAGCTGAATCTGCCTTAGCCTCTCGGGGAATCTTGCAGGGCCCCTTCCGCCTGTCACCCCGACTGCAGACTTCCTCTCCAGGACAGATTCAGGATGGTTCCCTGGCCCTGCATCCTTCAGCCTCCTGCTAACCCCTTCTCCTCACAGAGGAGCCCCACCTCCTCAGAGCAAGGGGCTGGCCTGTGCTATTTCTGTCCTTTCTGGGATTCTTCTGAGAACAGACTCTTGTTTTCAGACTGGTTCAGATGTGAAACTTTTCCCGAGGCCTCTCACCCAGTTGCTGTGGGCTGGGTCTCTGCCTCATCACTCCTTCCTCGAGCCAGGCCCCTCCCGTTCCCCTCCCCAAAGTTCTCTCTGGTCAATCGCTCAGTTCTGCTGAGACCTGGAGCAGGAAGTCAGGGGCCCAAGAGGGAGTCATTCCCGTCAGGGGCCCCGGGGCCCCGGGGCCAGCATTTTGATGCTCTAAAGTCGCAAACTCAGACTCTCATGGCAAACCCTGTTCCTGTGCAGAGGAGCCACCTCCAGGGCCCCATCCTCAGGTAGGCACCAGGGACGAGGAAGGGAGGGGGAGGAGGAGCACAGGTTGCTGTCGGTCACCCGTTGTAGTTTGGATGGGGCGGGATCAAGACTTGGCAATTCCCATATGTTCCCCATACATTGTGTGTGCGCAGGCGTGCGAGTCAGCTTCTCCACCTTTCACCTCATCTGTCTTGCCCCTCACCTTATTCCCCTCCCACACCCATCTCCTTTTCCTTTTTATTGCTTCCTCTTGACTATGAAAGGAGGCTTAGCAGTGTTTCCCCCTTTCTTTCCTTCCTGACCCCCAGCATCCTTAGGACCTCACATTCCTCTGAAATCTTCTCTGGGCTTAAGAACCCCAGGGGGAGATAGAATTCTTCTCCCAACTCCCAGCTGCTTGGCTTGAGGCTGTTGTGTCCTCAGTGACTGTTATGGGCGTGGGGGTGCTGGAAGTAGTGGCAGCCCGCTCATCAGTCATGTGGCGATCCAAAGAAATGAACTGGTGGCGGCTGGAGAAGCTGAGCTCTTCTGGGGTGTTGGGATTCCACCGCCTGGAGCCTTCTCTTCTGGCTGGCTGCCGAGAGCAGGGAGAGACCGGGGCCTTCCAGGAGTCAGGATCTCAGGCTCTTATGGTGGTGCAGGGGCTGAAGATAAAGGAGGAAGAAGTGCTGGTGGTGAATCAGGGCTGGGGTGGAGGTGGAAGGATGGTTCGGGAAGTTTCCAGTCTTCCTTAGGCCTGGATGAGGACTAGACAGGGGTGAGCCATCCTGTTCTGCAGGGAAAGGGACCATTCCCATGCCAGATTCTCTTGAAGACTGAGCTGAAGGGGCTGGATTAAGACGCTGTGGGTGGGGGAGTAGGACTTCCTGCAGATGAATGGTGAGGTGAGGACTTTGGGTGGGTCTGGGGAGATCCTAACTCTGAAGAATTTTGGAGTCAGACAGGCTCCTGCCAGGCCAGAGAGTGCAGTGCTGGAGCGTTATTTAACTTCAGGAGGGTGAAGTTTAGCACCTGGATCCTTCCAGCTGCCTAAGTCTGGGTCCACTTCTTGGACTCCCCATTTGTCAAATTTATTCTTCAATTTTTCCTTCCTTCCTCCCCGCTCCTTCTGGTGTCTGGATCATGCTGCGTGTCAACATGGAGCTATACAAGACGTAGAGGTAGAGGCAGGAGGAACTTGGAGGGAGGGGTGCGTCAAAAGCTAGCCTACGACCTCACTTATTTCCCCAGGCTCTCCATTAGAGAGCAACCCTGGCGCAGAGATCTCAGTTGTGGGCTCTGGCAGATAGCCCCCCATCTGAGTAATCTGCCCCCTTTCCCTTGTATTTATTTGATGAACGTTTCCTGACTATTTACTGTGTGCTCTGAGCACAGTGGCCAGGATCAGCAAGTCACTGTCAGTGCCATCCAGACTCTCACAGTCTACTGTGGGCCGACAGACACCAACACTTCATGAAGGATGGATGCCACACTGAAGACACTGTGATGGAATGGGTTCCAGCCTCTCTCCAAGCTCATTATATGATTGAGCTCCTTCTGCCCCAACACCTTGGCCTTTGGGGGCACAATTAGGCTCCTGTAGTGTGAGTTGCTGACCTGACTGAGATCGACAAGTTGTGTGACCTTGGACAAATCACTTAACCTACCTCACAGGGTGATTGTGAGGCTCAAATGAGGTTTGTAATCCTAAAGGGGAGGTCATGGCCATTATCATTCTCCCACTTCCTCTGTTAGAGGACTTCCTAATTACCAGGCTCTGTCCAAACTAGACTCACTCTTCTCCACTCCGACTTGGGATAGAGAAGGCAGGCGCTTGTTGGATTTGAAGGGAGTGAGGTGTGAGCTGGGTAGGACCAACTGACGCTGGTCAGTAAATTCACAATTTTAGAGACCACCACATTTGTATGTGCCAGGCCTTTTGTATATATTATTTTATTTAATCCTCGTATAACAGCCCTTCACAGGTGGATTATCATCATCTGCACTATTTTACAGATGAAGGAATCGAGGCTCTAAAATAAAGGTTCTCAAACTGTAGTGAGCATGAGAATCATCTGGGATGTTTGTTAAACGTGCATCTCCCTGGACTCTACCCTCAGAAGTGCTGGTTCAATAGGTGTGCAATGGGGCCTAGAATCTCCATTTTTCACAAGTATCCCAGGTGATTCTGATGTTGGTGGTCCACAGGCCACATCTTGATAGATACTGATTAAGAATTAGTGACTTGCACAAGGGCTCAGAGCCAGGAAATGATCCGCTTGAATCCAGGATCCCTGCCTCCCAGACGTGCCTTGGTTTCTGCCTTGAAAATAGGGACAGCAATTCCTTCCCGCCTCCGTCCCTCTCTCTAGGCCCATTGTGAAGATAAAATGAGATAATGTGGAAGAAGGCGCTTTTTAAAATGTAGAGCTGGCAGCATTGTTAGCGATTATGCGAATACATGCAAATGAGCACCCGTGGGCTTGGCTGTTCACTTTGGGAGCCTGTGCTGGGTTGTGTGTTTCAAGAAGTGGCTTGAGAAAGAAACTGGAAGAACTTTGACGGTGGGCATTGACCCCTACAGGCAGAGTTTGGGTTTTAAAGAGGGCTGACCAAGCAGAAGATTAGTGCTGGGCTGGGAATCTAGGGGAGAGATGGGATCAGAGGCCCCTCTATTTTCCTGGGTTGTGTGTCCACCTGACCATGAGGACTGACCAGAGAGGGAAGCCCTGCTCTGCCTGGTCCCCAAAGGTAAAGCGTCCCTCTTTGTTCTGCAGTCTCTGGGTCGGCACCCTGGGAGATGCTGACTCAGTACCGTACCCCTTTCTAGCTCATCGGCTGGAAAATCTTTTCTTTTGTCTAGCTCGATTCCTTCTCCCTAATGAAGCCCAAGCTGGGTTGAGTTTTCCTGAGATGGGACTCTTTCTTGTTAAACAACCCGCCGTTTCCACTTGGAAGTGGGGTTTGAAGATAGCCCACTGAGAGGCTGCAGCGTCAGTCTCCAGCTTCTCTCCCCGCCCGTTTCACCCCTTTCCCTTCTGCCTCATTCCCATTCAGACATGTCTTTGGCCAGGGCTGCTGGTGCCTGCGGTGAGAATTGGCCTGTGATGCTTCCTGGGGCTGGCTATTTTGGGCACCCCTATTCCAAAGCTGCTGAGACCCCGGGATTCTGGAGCTGCTTCTGTTCAGGAATGCCATTGTTCTCCCTCCCCCGGCATCTCTGGGAATTGCTGCTAATTTCAGCTTCTGGTCCCTGACTCATTTTCTTCTGTTAACTGACTCATAGGGTGACCTTGGGTTTCTGAAACCCCTCTTAGTGGGGAATTGTGATGGCCACCATTTCACCTGCATCTGGGTTTCGGGTGGGGTGGGGTGGGGTTGGGCTGGGGGAAGGAGCCAAGGGGAATGTTAATCGCTTTGTTTAAAATCACCAGCTAAAGGCAGAGGGCTTTGTTTGCGTTGACTGCCTGGGCTGCCCTCGCCAGACTTCTAAGAAGCCTCGCAGTTAATCACCGCCCCCCAGAATTCATGAGTGCAAAATATGAGGGATTGTCCCTTCAGGCAAAGCATCTAGGGGTGAACCTCCCCCCCCCCCATTTGGGCTCTGGGAGCAGCTGCCGCTGGCGAGGTAGAGGAGGGGTTCAGTCACCCTTTGCCAGAGGTTCTCTCTGGTGCGGCACCTGCCCCAGGGAGGCACGGGTTAACACGGCTTTGTCCTGGTTGATGGATTCTGGAATCATAATCCATTAGCTCTGCCTGGATGGAGTGGGGCCAGGCGAAAGCCTTCAGATTGGTCTTTGTTCTGTGTCTTTGCCATCTCTGCCAGGGCAGAGGGGCTGTGGACATGGACCCCCCCACCCCCCCGCCATAGCCAAGAGACATAATAAAACAATCTTGGGGGCTCTTTTGACTGCTGTGACCCCAAAGCCCTCTCTCATGGCGGAAATAAGCAGTTTCAGCTCTTGGTTATTCAAACTATGAATCTGCTCATCCCCAGAACATCACCCCAGGGGCTTGCACCTGCCTAATTCTGCTGGGCCCGAGCAGTCTAAAGGATGGTTTTCAGGAAACGCTGACTCCAGGGGGATGTTGAGAGGTCCGAGGTGGGTGGGGGCGGGGGAGTCAGGAAAAGCCTGGGATGAGACTTGAGGGGTAGATAACTTAAAACAGGCAGGGGCAACAGCCTGGGATGAAAAGCGTTAGCTGCTGTTATTCTTACTATTAGAAAGGCTAACGATTAGTGGAAGACTGAGGCTGTTTCTGTAAATGCGCCCCGTTGGAGGGCCTCCTGTTCTCATGACAAGGTGGTGGCGCCCGAGCAGGATATCTGTCCTTCCCTCCCCCACAGGCTGCGCTACATGGTGAAGCAGTTGGAGAGCGGGGAGGTGAACATTGAGGAGCTGAAGAAAAACCTGGAGTACACAGCGTCTCTGCTGGAGGCCGTCTATATAGACGAGACGCGGTGAGGGTGACGCTGGGCCACGGGGAGAGACCCACACACAGAGGAGAGAGAGGCCCCACCGACACAGTGATCCAGGAACAGTCGGGGAGTCAGACAGAAAGCTGGCGATGAGACCTGCGACGGGGCCAGAGCGGGAAGAGCGGGAGGGGCGGAGAGAAAGAGCTTTGGGTAGAAATATCAGTGGAGATAAAGAGGTGGAGGAACAGGCAGAGAGTTGCAGAGAGAGAGACAAACACAGATATCAGGGAGAGAGGACTGTCTCAGAGCCGGAGGGACCTTCAAGCTCATCTGGTCCCAACCTTCTTCCCCGGGTGGAATTCCTCCTGCCCGGTGTGGGGGCCACTAGTCACGGTGGCTATTGAGCGCTTGGAACGTGGCAAGTGTGACTTGAGACATGTGTGTATGTGTAAAATGCACACTGGATTTCAAAGACTTAGAAAAAAGAATGTAAAATATCCATTCATATATTTTATATTGATTCCACATTGAATGATAATATTTTGGGTGTATTAGGTTAAAGAAAATTTATCATTAAAATGAATTTTACCTGTTTCTTCTTTTTACCTTTTTAATGTGGCTACTAGAAAATGTGAAATTGTTTACATGTGGGCTGCATTTTATTTCTGCTGGACAGTGCTGCTGGCCTGTAGCATCCGTGACAGGTGGTATCCTTTCCATCGTCTGCTTGAACACTTCCAGAATTGGGATGCTCACTACCTCACACAGTGAGCTGTTCATTATTGGAGACATCAGATAGAGAAACAGAAATAAAAAGACACAGAGAGAGAAAGGAAAGGAGGGTCAGAGTAGGGAGAGAGCTGGCGTGAGAGTCACTGAAGCGTGGTGTGTGGCTGGGCCCAGGTCTCTAGGCTGTGGAAGCACCTGCTGTCTTTCCTCTGTGACTCCTCTTCTGGGGCCGCAGGCAAATCCTGGACACAGAGGACGAGCTGCAGGAGCTGCGGTCGGACGCTGTGCCTTCGGAGGTGCGGGACTGGCTGGCCTCCACCTTCACCCAGCAGGCCCGGGCCAAAGGCCGCCGAGCAGAGGAGAAGCCCAAGTTCCGGAGCATCGTGCACGCTGTGCAGGCTGGCATCTTCGTGGAGCGGTGAGGCTCGCCCACGCTCAGCCCCCTCTGCCTCTGGTTGTGTCCTCTTTCCCAGCCTCCCTGGTCTTCCGGGCCCACACCATGCCACCAGCCATACGGCCTCGCCTGCCCACAGCCCATCCCCACAGCCCCGCCCCATCAGACCCCACCCCCTAGACCTTCACACCTGACTTCTTTTCATCATTCGCCCTCAGGATGTTCCGGAGAACCTACACCTCTGTGGGGCCCACCTACTCCGCTGCAGTCCTCAACTGTCTCAAGGTGATCCCTGTGTTTTCGAGAAAGAAGAGAACCCTGGGGGATGGGATAGTCATTGGGACTTTCAGACTCTTTATGGGGTGATTTTTGCCTTCCCTTTTAATTGTCGTCTCCATGTTCCTCAAAAGGACTTTTGCCCACTCCAGAGGCAAACTCTTGACTTCTAGTCTCTCCCATATTGAGAGGTACCTGGGATGAAAGAGGCCCCCTTCACCACTTCTGTGTTTCCCTGCTTCCCAAGTCCCTATAATCATTGGGAAGTCCTCCCTGAAGTCTAACTGCAACCCTTACTGCTGCTGGGCAGCTCCCCTTGGGAGTCTCCCTGCCTAGTCCGTTGTTTCTCCACAGAACCTGGACCTCTGGTGCTTCGATGTCTTTTCCTTGAACCGGGCAGCAGATGACCACGCCCTGAGGACCATTGTTTTTGAGTTGCTGACTCGGCATAACCTCATCAGCCGCTTTAAGGTTGGGTGCATCCTCCCCCTGCCTCTGGGTGGGATTCTCCATTCCCATGCATCCTATTCTGAACGATTCCCCACAGTTCCCCACAGGTAGATGCTGCTGGCTCCCTTGCACTCTCCCGTTCAGGGAGTCTCCCATGCCCACCCCCAGGCTAACCTTTCTTTCACTGGCTGCAGTCCCGCCTCTGACTTCATTCACTGCTTTCTAGAGAAAGATTCTAGGTCTACCACCATCTAGCCTAGGATCCTGCTCTCTCCCTTTGCTTTTCCCCCTCACTTGTCCTCTCCGGGCTGGCTTGAAGTTCACCTCCCTGTTTCCTCTGTCCTGCCTCCTGCTTGTTGACACTGGAGGCCTCGAGTCCAGATGCTGTCAGCCAGTGCCCTGTGGGCCTGGAGACTCTCCAGTTGTTTCCTGGGGGTGGGGGAGGAGGGATGGAGGGGATACCACTGGCCACTCCCCTCCCCCAGCTCTTGGTCAGGCTGGAGAGGGCTGGATGAGGAGGGTGTGTGAGCTCCATTTGCTCTTCAGCTTGGCTGGCCTGGACGAGTATGGGATTAAAGTCCTCTGCAGATCCTGCACCGGGAGGGAGCGTCTTTTGGGAATAGGGGCAGGAAAAAATCACTTCCGAGTGGAAAACCCGCACTAGGAAGCGGAGGGCAGGGGGTTGAAGAGTGGCGGTGGGGCTATTTGGTCAGCACTTAGGCCGGTGGAGGAGATGTTAGAGCTGAGGGAAATGTGTGTGTTCTGAGGGGGCCGTGTGGGGGTCAAGGGAGTCTAGGTGGAGGGGCCCTGCCCGGAGGGCTCTGGAAGGTTATCGAGCCATCCTCTGCCTCCACTTCACTACAGCAGACTGGCTGTGTGGGTGAGCCTTTCCTTGACCCTTGACTCCTCCTTTTACAACAACTCCCAAGAGGGTTTCTAGAACTTTCCTGAGCTGTTCAGTTGGGAGGTTTCTTCAGTGCCTTCCTGAGGCCTATCCTGCAGTTTCATTTTTCTTGCCTCCCATCCTGCCCTCTAAAGGATGGAGAACAACAGGGTCCTCTTTTTCCTAAGACTTTCCCCAGCTCTTGTTTCTCCAAACTGGTTCTCAGACGTTCTTCAGACACCAGCTTCTCCTAAACTCTGCTTCCTTACCTGGAAGGACTGGGATTGGGGGACCCGAGAGTGAGTGCATCAGGTTGGGTTTGGCCTATCCCCAGTCGCCGTGCTCCAAGGCAGTTAGGGAGAGAGGGGGCTGTTACTGCTGTAGCGTTCTCTCATGGTAGAGACCCCAGTTGGACCCGCCCTTCTCAAGCTCCATATTCCCTTCCTAGGCACCCAGCCCCTCCCCTGTTCCTCCCCGCCCCTTCCCTTCCCTCCAGGGACGCCATGGCAACGCAAAAGCAAGGGCAGTTGTCATGGAAACAGTCCTTTAAAATTCCCTGAATTTGGGGCACAGCCTTCCAGGGGTGGGGGTGGGGGACGTTAGGGTCTGACTGACTAGTGGTGCATCTTCCACGTCTTGTCACTGTTGCTCATCTGTACAGAAGCTTCCCCAAGTCCTGAACCTCCCTCTCCTCCCAGCCTCAGGAGACCCAGGGATGGGTGCAGACACCAGCCCTGCCCTCTTGGAGCCTCGAGCCTTTGAAGGAGGCAGACACACCCCTAGGGAATATGCAGAGACAGAGAGAGGATTGAGCTGGACAGAGCTCTGGCCCCTGGTGCTTGTTTGTGTTTGTGGTGTGTGTGTGTGTGTGTGTGTGTGTGTATGGCAGGGGGCTGGGGAAGGTTTCTCAGAGGAGAAGGTAAGCCATATCTGGCTGGGAGGGTCCTCTCCAGGTCATCATCTTCTTTCCCCTGCTTCTGAGGTACTGGATTGGGGATGGGGTGGGGTGGCTGGAAGGTAGGAGGGAAGCTTTCTTTCCTTTTCTTAAAAATCTCCAGGGAAATAATAATAATAATTATAGCTACTCTTTAGAGAGCACTTACTAAGTGCCTTGTACTTACCTCATTAAATTCAAGGTAGGTGGTATTATCTTCATTCTGCAATTAAGTATCTGAGGCACAGGGAGGCACGTGACTTGCCCAGGGTCACACAGCCAGCAGGTGGTAGAGCCAGGATGTGAGCCCAGGTTCGCCTGACCGCAGAGCTGGGCCTCTAAGGAAAGATGGCGCTGCTCGTCTCCGTCCTCCATTCCTGCAGACCCTCCACGCAGCTCGATTCCCTCCCTCCTGCTGCAGATTCCCACTGTGTTTTTGATGACTTTCCTGGATGCCTTGGAGACAGGCTACGGGAAGTACAAGAACCCTTACCACAACCAGATCCACGCGGCTGATGTCACCCAGACTGTCCACTGCTTCCTGCTCCGCACGGGGATGGTGGTAGGCGCCCTGAATCCCTCGTCTGTGATCAGGGTCTCATGGCTGCTGCACTGGGAAGTCTAGACTCTATTCCCCTTTCCCTTTTTGGTTCCTCTCCTTTGGCATCCTCAAGGTCTTTAGACCAAGACCAAGAGTCAAATTGGACTTACTCTAGAGAATTCCCGGGTGGACCATAACTTCATGGGCAATGCTGGGGATGTGTGCTGGATGCAGTGGGGATGTTGCAGGTTGGGAAGGAGGAGGGTCTTTGGCCATTCCAGGAGCTGAGAAACCTGGCTGCGTTAGCCTAAGAGCTGGCCTTGAAGATGGAGGGGCTGGGCTGAGTGGTCTAGCCTGTGTGTGGAGGTCTCCAGGCAGTGACCGGCAGGAGGTCAGCCCCCTCTCATCCTGTCTCTTTCTCCCAGCACTGCCTGTCGGAGATCGAGATCTTGGCCATCATCTTTGCTGCAGCCATCCACGACTACGAGCACACAGGCACTACCAACAGCTTCCACATCCAGACCAAGTGAGGGTGGGGACATGGCAGAGGCAGGAGGGGCCACGTGGAGGTGGGGGAGGTTGCCAGAGTCCCCATTTACAGGGGGCTGAAGACCATGACCTTTGACTTTGCAGGTCGGAATGTGCCATCCTGTACAATGACCGCTCCGTGCTGGAGAATCACCACATCAGCTCTGTTTTCCGAATGATGCAGGACGACGAGATGAACATCTTCATCAACCTCACCAAGGATGAGTTCGTGTGAGCAGAAGCCAGGAGTCGCCCTCCCCCCGGCCTTCTGCTCCTTCCCGGACCTTCTGCCTCACAGTGCTGTGGGGCTGATCACTTCTCTGGCTCTGTCCATTCAGAGAGCTGCGGGCCCTGGTCATCGAGATGGTGCTGGCCACAGACATGTCCTGCCATTTCCAGCAAGTGAAGTCCATGAAGACGGCCTTGCAGCAGTTGGAGAGGTGGCATCTGGTGGGGTGTGGCTGGGGCTCAGCCAGAGTGAGGGGTGTGAGAATTGGGGGGCATACACATGGGTAATTGGTGTGCCAAGTCCCTACCTGATGTAGAAACTCCCCTGGCTCCGGGTATCTGGGTGTATCTGTGTGTATGTGTGTGTGTGAGAGAGAGAGACGTGTGTACACGGCCCTGGGGTTATGTCCAGCCCACGCTGCTGGTCTCTTGGAGAGCACTTGGGGCTGCGAGTCTGAGATGAGCCTTCTCACTGCAGCTGCAGGACAGGCTTGCTCTGGAATGTCGGGAAAATCATTCAGCCCTTCTGGACCTGTCTCCTTACCTGTGAAATGTGAAAATGATATGCCTCCCCTTACAACAGCTTGCCACCAGTTCCTGCTGTAATAGGGCTATTGAGAGAGTCCTGTGAGGTTAAAGAAAAAAAGCACAGAAGAAATGTCATAATTACATCTAATGTTGCTTAAAAGTGGGTGGGAGCATATAAATGTGTGTAAGAGAGAGCGGACTCTGTGTGTGTCCTGAAGGTGTGTGTTAATGTACGTGTCTGTGTGGGGGAGTGTGCAGTGCCAGAGCGTGTCATTGTTGGGGAATAATAATAATAATTACTATAATAATAATTATAGGTAACATCTACCAAACTCTCAGTGCCACACACTCTTCTAAATCCTTACATGTTGGATGTCATTTAATTCTCAGAACAACTCCATGTGGCAGATTCTGTTATTATTCCCACTTTGGATTGAGGAACATGAAATGGGAATTTTAAGTAACTTGCTCTGCGTCACACAGCTAGTGTGTGATAGATATAGTGGGGATTCGAACCCAGGTCCTGTGATTCTAAAAGCCTGGGCTGCTTCCCATATATAAATAAGTGTGTGTGTGTGTGTGTGTGTGTGTGTGTGGCCTCTGAGGGTGTTGAAGTTACTTGCAAGGATATGAGGGGGGCGTGTGATGGGAAGTTAGGAATGGTCCAGGTTTCCTTTTCCTGAAAGATCAGTCTCTCTTCCCTTGCCGCCTGCCCTGACCAGGATTGACAAGTCCAAGGCGCTGTCCCTCCTGCTCCACGCTGCTGACATCAGCCACCCAACCAAGCAGTGGTCGGTCCACAGCCGCTGGACCAAGGCCCTCATGGAGGAATTCTTCCGCCAGGTAGCGTAGCCTCTTTGCCCAGCCCTGCCTGTGGGGGCTTCTTTCCCCTTGTTCTCCAAGCTCCCTGCTCCCGCTCCAGATCTTCATTCAGCCACTGCAGCTTCTGACCTGACCTGAGCCCATGGGACACCATGTCATTATCCTAAAAGCTGAACGAGAGTTGCCAACAGTTGCATTCCATTTGCATCTCACCCATTTCCAGGTCGAAGGCACTGAAATTCCTCTTCTTGGGGCCGGCCCCATGGCGCAGCGGTTAAGTTTGCATGTTCCGCTTCAGTGGCCTGGGGTTTGCTGGTTCGGATTCCCGGGTGCAGACCTATGAACCGCTTGTCAAGCCATGCTGTGGCAAGCATCCCACGTATAAAGTAGAGGAAGTTTGGGGCCGGCCCGGTGGCGCACTGGTTAAGTGCGCATGTTCTGCTTCAGCAGCCTGAGGTTTGCCGCTTTGGATCCCAGGTGCAGACATGGCACCGCTTGGCAAGCCATGCTGTAGCAGGTGTCCCGCATGTGAAGTAGAGGAAGATGGGTGTGGATGTTAGCTCAGGCCTGGTCTTCCTCAGCAAAAGGAGGAGGATTGGTAGCAGTTAGCTCAGGGCTAATCTTCCAAAAACAAACCACAAAAAAAAAAAGGAAAAAAGGAGGAAGATGCGCACCGACCTTAGCTCAGGGCCAGTCTTCCTTAGCAAAAAGAGGAGGATTGGCAGCAGATGTTAACCCAGGGATAATCTTCCTCCAAAAAGAGAAAAAGAAAAAAGAAATTCCTCTTCTCCCACAAGCACCCCTGCCACCCTGGCTGCACCCGGATCTGCTAGTCTGAGGTGTCCTCTCCAGCCTTCCCTTACCCCGTCTTGTCCTCCAGGGTGACAAGGAGGCAGAGCTGGGCCTGCCCTTCTCCCCGCTGTGCGATCGCACTTCCACTCTTGTGGCACAGTCCCAGATTGGTGAGTCCTTTCCTGCAGGGAGGAGGGGGTTGGCAAGGATGCTGCCTGGGCCTGGGCCAGGCCTGTGCCAAGTCACCACCCCTCAAAACTGTTCTCCTGTAGAGGCGCACCTGCTGGGAAGAGCATGGGGTCCTCGGGCGGGAGGCCAGGGAGGTGCGCTGTTGGGGAGTTTTCTGGGGTTACAAAGACATTGTCCCCAAGGCTGCCCCCACTGGGGACTTTCAGCCCCAGGTTACCCTGTTTTGCACACAGCCAGGGGTCACAGCCATGCCAGCCATACACACTGCCTAGTCCCCTGGTGAGACACTCCTGTTGTGTTACACCTTCACCGCAGGCTTCATTGACTTCATTGTGGAGCCCACCTTCTCTGTGCTGACGGACGTGGCTGAGAAGAGTGTTCAGCCCCAGGCAGATGAGGACTCCAAGTCTAAAAACCAACCCAGGTGAGGGTGGCTGGGGTAGCTGGGGCTCCTGGTTCTGGGGGAGGAAAGTCGGACTCACAGGGAGGACGACCCGCAGGGAGGAGGTCCAGCCATGGTGGGGTGGTGGAGAAGCAGGCCACTCCAGACTTGGGAGCCCCTCTGCTGCCACACACCGGGTGGAAGGATGGGACCAGAGGGAGTGACCTGCACCGGTGTTCCCCTCTGCACTGTTTTTCTCTCTTCATTAGCTCTGTCTTTATTGCCTTTCTGCTAATCTTGTTTTTATTTTCCTTCTAGTAGGAGGGAAGGTATATGTGTGTGTGGGGGGGTTGAAATTGGGGGAAGAAGGACAGGGACTTGGGGGGGGTCCCTAGCAGAGGGAAAAGAGGAGAACGATGAGGCTCACTAAACCTCCTCTTGGTCTTCCATCCCCTCCACTCGGAGGGCTGGGAAGGTGGTTCTGGAGTGGGCTGGGTCTCACCTCTGGAGTCGGGGGGGGGGTCCTGCTCCTAGCTTCCAGTGGCGGCAGCCTTCTCTGGATGTGGAAGTAGGAGACCCCAACCCTGACGTGGTCAGCTTCCGCTCCACCTGGACCAAATACATCCAGGAGAACAAGCAGAAATGGAAGGAACGGGCAGCAAGTGGTGGGTGCCATTGTGGGGGATGAGGCCTTGCGGGGAGGGCAGCTAATGGAGCAGTAGCAGGTCCTTTTCCTTAAGCCCCTGGAGCAACCGTTTGACTCCTAGAGATGGGAATGGAGTTGATCAGACTAAAGTTACAGCACAGGAAGGACTGAATAGCTGATTGGTCTGGACTGTTCTAGAATGGGGACTGGAGAAAGGATAGGCACAGCCATATTCCACAACCCAAGGGACCCCATGCACATTGTGGTCTGTAAATGGTGCCCCTGTCGATCTGGGTAACCTGGCTGGGAAATCTCTTCTTTTGTGTGGGGGTCGAGGGTTGTGGATTTTAGCAAGGCTGGAGCGGCTCCCCCCAGGCAGGCATGGGTTGACTGTTGCTCATCTGGAAGGCAGGAGGATGTGTGAGAATCCCTGACTTTTCTCCACATACACCTTGGATTCTGGGGAAAAATACTTCTTGGTCTGGTCCCAACTTCCTTCATGCCCTCTGCAGGCATCACCAACCAGATGTCCATTGACGAGCTGTGCCCCTGTGAGGAAGAGGCCCCGTCCTCCCCTGCCGAAGATGAACACAACCAGAATGGGAACCTGGACTAGCCTGGGGCTGGCCCAGGTGAGCCTGTGGTGGTGGGGCAGGAGGGTCTTGAGGTTCTGCAGGCGTTAGGAAGAGCTGGGCATGCAATATGGCTTCCTTGCAGAGTCATCTCTGGGTATCAATGGATGCGAGGTTCTCCCTCCCTCTTCCCGGGCAGGAAAATGGGCGAAGTGAATACACAGAACTGAGCCAGGGCGTGAGTGGGAAGCAGGGAGATCCTTCCACCTCTCCTGACTCAGTCCCTGCAGGAGGCAAGGAGGTTGCTCCTCAGAACAGGGTGGGGCCTGTGTAGCACCTTTGTGAGGTTTCTGGAAAAGGAACCAGCCGGGTCACCAGGCTCTGTGAGGTCCATGGGGCATGACTTTGATCGCAGTCCCCGCTCACGCCCTCGGCTGGGTGCTCTTCTGCAGGGCAGTTTTTGCACTATATCTGGGACTGAGTTGGGATCCAGCTGGGACTTGGAGAAAGTCAGTCAGGCTGGAGATAAAGGCAAAGACCAGAGCACCGAGACTTTTCCCTCTTTCCCCAGGTCCTCACTGAGTCCAGAGTGTTCGATGTCATCAGCACCATCCATCGGGACTGGCTCCCCCATTTTCTCCAAGGGAGCATGGAGGTTGCGAACAGACAACCCACCCGAAGGCCACATGCCAGAGATTGTGGGGTTGGGGGAAGGGCCCCTCCCCACCCGACACCCATTGGGGTGCACTGTAATCTCCCGGCAGCAGACTGGGGAACTTCAGGCTCCCAGTGGTCACTGTGCCCATCCCCCTGCCCCTGGACTCCCCCCATGGCCAGATGGCTGGCTGGGAGGGGCGAGCTTCCTGGAGGCTTCCCAGGGCCTGGGGGGAGGGTCAGAGATGCCAGCCCCTGGGCCCTCCCCCATCCTTTTTGCCTCCAAGTTTCTAAGCAATACATTTTGGGGGTTCCCTCAGTCCCCCACCCCAGATCTTAGCTGGCAGGTCTGGGTCCCCCTTTTCCTCCCCTGGGAGGGGCTGGAATAGGATAGAAAGCTGGGGGTTTTCAGAGCCCTATGTGTGGGGAGGAGAGTGGGCTCCTTCAGGGCATGGTACCTTTCTAGGGCCTGGGAGTTGGGGGGACATCTTTACCCCAGACCTGCACTGCTTCAGCCCCATCCCCAGCCCAAGTCCCTGCAGTCTTCCCTCTCTCCCATTCTGAAACAGCGACTGGGGGAAGAGAGGACCCATTGGGACCAGGGGCTGAGAGGCGGCCTTTCCTGGGGTCCTCAAGAACTTGGGACTGGTCCAGGCCCCTGGGGCTTATCCCCCCGCCCCGGCTGAGTTCTGAGCCCGTGGCCTCCTTCCTCTCCCCTGGGGCTGGGAGGCTCCCATCCGACCAATGTCTGTAAAGTGCTTTGGGGTCTCCCCAGCAAAGCACCTTCAGGATGCATCTTCGAGCACAGGCAGGAGACCAGCTGGGTTGGGTCAAGGGTGCGTGGGGGGGGTGAGGTATATGCAGTAATTCTGCGTTGCCAACAGAGAGGGCCCCTCCCCTCCCAGCACTGGCCCAGCTGCAGGCACCAAAAGGCCCCTCCCCTGGGACAAGTGGGGCGTGGTGGGTGCAAGGCAGTTGGGCAGGGGCTCTGGGCTGCTGCTGTCGTGTCCTCTGAAGTCCCCAGCCAGGCCCGTGCCCCTTCCTCTCCTCAGGCTCCTCTCACCCCACCTTGTCCCAGGGGAGGCCCGAGTCCAGGTGACTGCCCTCCTCCTTTCTTGTAAATACCAACCATGCATTTGTACAGTGGGCCGTGTGTGTGTGGAGTCCCTAGCCACGGCCTCTTAGGCCTGCCCCCCGACACTTGTCCCTCCTGCCCCACTGTGAGTGGGGCAGAGATGCATGTGACTCACCCCTGCCCTTGGTCTCCCTGAACCCTGCTATAGCCAGAGATCAATAAAGAAGGGAGACCAGGCCTGGCTGTGTTTGGTGTTCACTGGGTGGAAGTCCACCGAGCAACTCCATGTACGCTGTCTCTTAAGCTCGATGAAACCCCGGTGCGGTGTTCTCCCTATTACATAGATAGGGGGGCAAGCTGAGGCCCAGAGAGGTGAGGTCTTGCCCGAGGGCACACAGGAGGGATGGCAGAAGTGAGATCTTACACTTGCGAGGTTCTTTGCTCTCTCCATCGCACTGCTTCTTCTGTAAGGCGGGCGAATCTTGCCTTCCTGCCTCCCCTCCTCCTCCACCGCCTGGAAAAGTCAAAAGCAGTGGGCAGGAGGGGCCTGGCTGTGGGGGTCTGAGGAAGTTTCTTCACCGATGTTCGGCTCCTGGCTTTTACCCTGGGCCCTTGGTGTCTAGGACAAAGGGAGGTGACCTTTCCAGTTCCCAGCAAGGGCCTCTTCCTTAATAGCCACTGTGTTCTCAATCCGTCTTTGCTAACGGGTTGGAATGGGGGTGGTCTTCTCACAGCTGGAGGAAGGAGCAATCCTGAAGCTGGGGAATCACTGAGGCTGGGAGGGCAGGCAAGGAGCATCCACACACCACCACACCCCTTTCACGGGCCAAGTGCCAGGGTGGGTGCAGTTCTCCCCTTTGTCCAGCAGACGGCGCCCACAGCACAGTCACAGCTGGATGGGGCTTAGAGCTCTGTCTTGCAGCTTCAGGGCAGCCCTGCCAGGTGGTTGTATCTTTTCCTCAAAAAGAAAAGCGAACCCTGGCCATCCTTCCTTCTTGTACCCTGGAAGTTAGTCCTCCCACATATCTGACCCCCGTCTCTTCCTGCAGCAATTAAGGGCAGGCTTGGGGAGAACGTCCTTCTCAAGGCTCCTGCCCAGCTTCCCAAGTTCCTCTCCAGGCAGCTGGGCAGAAGGGGGGGCGCTGTAGAGAGGGCAGGATGAGAGGGGAGGGAGAGGAGACTGTCCAAGTCGGGAAAGAAAGAAAATGCCAAGGACCTAACACCAAATTTATCAATTTTTAAAAACAAGAGATTTTCCCCAAAAGTGAAGAAATAAGAAATCCAGTGTCCATGCGTTCCCAACTGCAGTCTTGATCCCAGGATACCTGCTTCACTCTCAGACCTGTTGTGGGGTTGGGGGCAGAAAGAGAGGGTGAGCGGGAGGCCAGAGGCCCTCTTGTCCCTCCCCTGCTGGTCTGCCCAGCCGTCCTGTCCCGTTAGTCGAGCATCTAACTCCTGATGCCTGACCCAGTCTCCGTACCCTGGTCCGGTCTGTGCAGGAGGAGGACAGTAAAATCAAAGCTCCCCAGATTACTCCATCAATGACTCCACTCTGGGCAGGACTGCTGCTCACCTGGCCTAGACAGGTGAAGATCTCCCTTTCGGTTCCTAATGCCCTTTATCAGAAAATCTGTGGTCTCCTTCCCACCCATTCCCATAGCCAGAAGTCCTAATACAGTCTAACCTCGATCCCTCCTGCTGCAGCTTAATCCCGTTTCTCTTCGTCTGCCCGTCAGAGGAGATGCAAGCCCTCTTGCCATACAGAATAGTTTTTCAGTGACTGCAGCTGGTCCTTTGTTTCCCTCTCCCTGATTCCAGATCTCAGCCCTGGCCCTGTCCACACAGCTTGCTGTCCTGTACAGCGGGCAGCCCAGCCCTGGGGTCTTACCGAGTTGGCTCCCTGGGAATCCAGTGGTGGTATATGGGTTGAGGCTTTCTCTGTGCTGGGTTTCTCACTGCCCCTCTCGTGAGTTTTAGGGGTGGATTCTGCAGGCTCTAAGGAGGGAAAATGGGTGGTGGGAGGGAGAGGTGGTCTTCATGAGGGCTTGGAGACAGGGGGCTGCTTCTCTCACCCCACCCTATACTCCAGTGACCCCTCAGAGGAGCCCAGCACCAAGCTGGAGGCAATCGGGCAGGACCAACAGGGTTTTCTCTGATCACAGTTACTACTGGAGGTTCACTAATTTTTTTTATCTGCAATCAGAAATCTGAAAACCAAACCAAACCAAACCAAAAAACCCCACAACCCCTCTCAGAAATGTTAAAAAGCTTGGGTGCAATCTCAGTGTGTGGCTAAACATGACCTGAACTGATATGAGGCTATTTATAGTCTATTTATCCCCCTTTGGGAGACCATTCATTTCACTGCAGAAATATTAATGTGTTTGATTACAGGGTGCCCTGCTGGGGGTATTCTGAAATATGTAGGATATATACGGCATCGCCGTCATACAATTGGGATACTTCTGAATTGTGGAATACATAGGGGATAAGGGCCTGTGGAGATGTATTAACCGCACCACCAGCGGCTTCCATTTGTTGCATGCTTTGTATGTTTCAGCTGCTGGGCCAAGAACCAGTCTCATTTAATTTTCATAAACAACCCAATGAAATAGGCACCATCATTATCGTTTTGTAGATGGAGGTTAAGTAAGTTGCTCAAGCCTCCGGGCTGGTAAAGGCGCAGAGCCAGCATTCTAGCCTGGTCGTGCTGTTCCCATTATGGTGGGAGGGGCTGGTGCCAATCAGTAAGGACTGGTGAAGAGGTGCAGATAGAGCCAAATCCTCCAGTTTCCCGCTCCTACTGGAACCCTCCCACGTGGGTAAGGCTTGTCTCCTCCTAGGCTGGTCCCTCCCCAGCCGGAACGTACTCTGTGCTTTCCCAGAGGTGCCCAGCCTTGACTCCGCTTCTGTGTCTGTGATCCCAGGTGGGCAGGACTCCTGGGTCCCTGCGCTCTCAGTGGCTCCCTCAGGCTCCTCTCCCTGCTGCTGTTGCCCGAGGTGATGTTCAACCATCATCTGGAGCTCTGGGGGCACAGAGGAAGGGGGAGGACATTGGACATGACTGCCCAGTCTCCTCTGTGGACCCTCCAATTCAACAGCCCTGCTAAAGAGTCACCAGACATTGCCAAGTGGTTTGACTTTCCCGTCCCTTGAGATGTGAACAAGGAGGGACATCCGCTAGGCAGCGAGCAGGGACTAAAGCTAGACAATAAAATGCACTACCTTCAAAGGGAAGGGAGGGCCAGGGAAGAGGCTTTAAGAACAAAAGATCCTCCTTAACTTGCTGGGATAAGTGGTCTCCTTTGGGGGCAGGAGAAAACTCAAGTTAGAGCCAAGAAATATTTGCATACCTTCTGTGTTCTGTGACCTCGCTTCTATGTGAGTTCACAAATTGTATTTAATTTAACTGCCACAGTGAGGCAGTAGTCACGGCTCAGTAGGTTAGGCAGGTTCTCCGGGGCCACTCTGCTGGGCGGTGGCAGAGCTGCAATTCAGCCCCAGTTTTTCTAGCAACAACTCCACTTTAATAAAGGCAGATTTCATGACTTCCCAAGGATTCCTTCCAAAGGGGTCATCAGGTCTACTGCTCAGCCTCAGGCACAGAGGGGAAGGAAGGGAGGGGAAGGGTCATCCGAACCTTTCATTGTGGGTGTGGTCCTTGTCACCTTCTTCCGCTGCCGTGGAGACATGGCCAGAGTGGACTGTGAAGGACACAGAGCACAGGTGGGTGCCAGCCCTTCTCGCCCGCCTCCTCCACCTTGCCATGCTTTTGGATTGGAGATGGGGGGGTGGGTGTGGGCTGTAAAAAGTGGGGGAAGAAAATTCCTGCTTCCCCAGCTCCCCCTTTCCCCTTCCACCCGACAATAGTGAGCAAGGAGACTGTGTGTGTGTGGGGCGTCCATTCACACACATTGGGGGGGGGGGCGTGCAGGGAAGAGGCAGTCTAAAGGTCCTACAGATGGGGGCTCTGAGGAATAATCCCCTAATGAGTCTGTGGGTTTTCTGGGCTGGGCTGGGCTGAGTGGAGGTGCCAGCTCACCTTGAGAAGTGGGTTGGGCATCCGGTCTTCATCTATCTCTGAGGGGAACAGGGAAAGGAGAAAGTGATGAGGATGGGAAATCCAGGGGGTCCCCATGGAGCTGACTTCCCCAGGGGAGGAGTCTCTGCAGTCACCTCCTTCCTGATCTGTCCCTCACATCTGCCCCTAGGAAGTTGGCCCTGGTGGCCACCCCAGGCCCACTCGCTCCAGCTCCCTCCTGCTCTGCTGTACGGCCTTCTCCCTGCACTTAGTCCTGTCCTTGACTCTATGGTCAATCTGCACCTACATCCTTGCCTCAGACCTGGAGGCTCCTGAAGGCAGGATCTGTGGTCCTTTTGCCCTTTTCCTCCCTCTGAAATATCTTTTTCTCTTGGCAACCATTACCCCCACCCCAGGTCCAGAACTGAACCCTGCATAGGAGGGAACACTGGCTAAAGAACAGCAAAATGATCCTGTGCAGGGTCCAGGAAGGTACCAACCTTTTCAGTAGCTGGAGGACAGCTGGGGACTCAGGCATCCTGCAGTCCAGTCTAGCTTATTAGCATGACCACCTCTTCCACTCTCCTGTCCAGCTCCCTGACGTTTCTCTGAGACCTTGTTCTCTCCCTAGACCCTGATGGGGACACTGGTGACCAGAATGCCAGCTGCTCTCTGAGCTGTTTCTAACCTTCCCCTTCCCCTCTGGGGGCGTCAAGATAGCTGATGGAGGCGGTCCCTCCCCCTCGCAGCTGTCACTGCCTCTGGGGGTGGGGGCAGCAGCATCTCAGTTGCTGGAGAAACCTGGAAGGCTGTTGCCACAGCAACTGGCACTCAGTTGACCACCCTAATTCCTGGGGGGCCTAGGAACCAGGTGCTCTCCCTCCCCTCCCTAGCACTGCTCCTTCTTTCCAAAGCCAAGGAAATCCTCCTGCTAATCCAGCCACCACTTTCCTGCCTCTGGGATTGAGGACTCTCTGACTGCTCAGATCTGTCCTTCTTCTGTCTAGCACCCCCCTTCTCTCACTGGGACCCAGCTGTCTTCAGCAGCCCTACTCCCTTCAACGACCCATCCCTGGGGTTACCTGGGGATGACTGGTCACTGGTCAGTACCAGGGTGGCAGGGGTGGGGCGGCGCCTCCGAATCTGAGGGAAGAGGTCAAGTTCATGTGGAAGCGTCAAAGCCCCACCCAACACCACTCAGCAACACAATCCAGGCCA